CCCAGTATGAATCTGTTTTTGCGCTCATTGTAGTATTTTAAATTTCAGCACCGTTAGATTTCTTTTAAATATCAAAGAGCAGTGCTATAGTAAGTCATCTGGTTTAGAAGGCTAATATTAAAGCGCGGGAGTCGTCACCTGCGCCAGATGGTCATAGCGTGTCATAATTTACAAACGAGCGTCTACCTGTGAGCCTTTGCGTTTTAACGTGCGTTATCGTCGCTTGGGACACTTATTTTTAAACGAATCATTCATTTTGTTTAACTATTCCAACCCAATCATTGCAATTGCTGATTTCTGTCGCATTTGTAAGCGGCTAATCATTTAATGTACATTTGTGTAGTAACATCCGGCGCGACACTGTTTAAGGGAAACAATCCCCTATTTTTTTAAACACGTGTAAACGTTTTTTTCAAATTCAGATTATTCCGTACAGATAATTGAAGGCAATAGTTCTGTCAAACCCGTTTTCAATCAGGTTTTGAAGGGATTTTACGAAATATTACTAAAATGGAAAATATTTGCTTCATGGGAGCGTTCTCAGTACACCATTTATTTTCAAATTCCATCCACTTAAGTGCTATAGTCAATAGTTTTTTTTTTACATTCGAAGCTTTCAACGGTTCAATGCAATTTTATAGGAAAAAAACACTAGAAATCATCAAACAGATACGGCAATGTTCCAAGAGAAATTAATAGGGAGATCAGTTTATTTTGGAGCCCACAGTAATATACGGTTGAATTATCGGTAGTCACCTTAAAAATCGTACTGTGGCGTTGAACATTTTTTTTCTAGCCAACTCCTAGCACCATATGGCAGGAGTTGTTACTGTCCCTTTACAATCTACCATTATCTTCTGTACAAGGATATTTTAAATAAATTTAGCCGTGTTAGAACTCTGGACATTTGGATGCACACGTTTCTTGATACACTTGCAGCTACAAGTTTTGGATTTCAGACAAGGCCGTAGGAAGCAAAAAAATAGTTGGTCCGGCCACCCAACGAGGGCCGTAGCGTATGATGATTCCGTTCAAATCTTTGAACCCCCCTCACACACGTGTATGTTAAATGAACTGGTTGGTTGCTAAAATACAAATGGATTAATTTGGATCGTTTTTATGGGTGGTGGCCATTTGTCATTGCTCAACTGCACGACAGTTATTTGATTAATTCACTCGTTTTCGAGCTTGCTGTTGCCGATTACTTTAATGAGAAAAAAAAATGTAATTGAATTAGTCACGTCCCACAAAAAAATACTGGCAAAAGTCATTGATAATGGGGGGGGGGACTTGTAGACAGATTTTGCTGCATGGTAGCTTGTTTGAAAGTTAACATTTATGGTAGTGAAGTTCGGGATACCGAGGAGAGATGCTTCAATTTAGAAGAGTGGGCAACAATGTACAAGCAGGTAACGTCACGGGACAGGATTGCATTACCCGCTATTTCACTACTGCTTTGACCAACATTTGTACTCAAAGATGCGAGTATCTGATCCAAGACGCTTTTATTAGAGGGCCCTGATTGAACAAGTTACTCCGTAAATGGTTTGTGGAAGAATATTTTAATAAATATAATTTAAAAATAAAATGTATACGTACAAATAGACTTAAATTATGATGTATTATAGAAACAAACTGCACTGAATAAGCGTACGGACAATTACAGTACTATAATTGCGACTTATTCATTTTCGTTATTAGTGTCAATTCAATATGCATTAAACATTAATAACGACACAATAAATACAAGTACAGAGCCAGAAAAACAAGATTTTAAATTGCTACCGTCATCAGTACCAACATATTCTTTAAACCGGCTCTCGCATTGGTAAGATTTCAAATCGTAATACATGTAGTCAGGACATTCACATTCTCTCTCTTCTGGGTAGTGAGTGGAGAATTCGGGACAACCGATAGCATAGTAGGGAATGCTTTTAGAATGGGATTTTGCGGCGCTCTCTTCAATCGCGCGATGAATCCTTGTGTCTACGATTTTATTGTCACTGACTGCATGGTGCACGACGACGTCCCCGGCCTTTAGTATTGAATCAATGTTGTAGCCGATAGCCTTCTTTCCGTCTTGTAATTTTCTCTTCTAATCTGTAAACTGCAGTTATTGTATAGGTGGCAAGAAACTGCCGACAATGCTAGGTTGACGAACACCGATCTGTGAAGTGGAACTGTGGAGGAAAAAAGTATGCATATAAGGCAAACCTAACAAATTTTCAAATCTACACAATATTTGTGGTACGTTGCCGAGTCGATTGGATGGGCGAGTAACTAACCGAATATTGATCTCGTTACTTGCCTGGCATCAAGTTTCCATCACCGTCGAGCTGCACATATGCATGGCTTGACAAAGCTTGTGTGAAATCAGATACGACGTCCAAACCATCAAAACTGGGAGCACCAATGGCGGGACGACCGAAGGAAAATTCGTCATCTACGTGTGCTACATACCTGTCTAGTGAAGGCGCTGCAAGACAGCCCTGTGAATGAATTTTAATGTAGACGGTCAATTATACTACCTAGTAAACTGATTATGTTCAAAGCAACTGCCACCGTCTTATTACGAGTGAATAGGGCATCAGTTTGTAAAAGCAATGTTGAACGGAACAACTGTTCAGCAAGGATGTGTTGGAAATTGTTCGGCCAAGGTTCGCAGTCTAATTCAATAAGATATCTATTTGGAGTGTCGGAGGCAATTTTAGCAGCTTGTTACAGCATGTACTTACATCGGGGTATGAAGGGGTCGAGTATTCTGATCCTCTGCAAACCATAAATAACATCAATTTAAGCGTGTAGTCTGCTCTTAATAGTGCGGGCGAGAACTTCACGTCCAATGTAACTTCTTCCTTATGCAAGACTCCTCTCGCGCCATCTGCACTGAATTCGTCATTATTGGCACCTGTGTATTAAACAAATTCTTGTTATTTCAAATGGAACATTGAGCAGTCGGTCATTAGAAACTATGAAATGTTTGGTGCGAATGTACGATAACTATTTACTAAATTTTCCAATGTTTTAGCGAGTTTAGAATGTTTGCAATGGATTCTCCGCGGATTTCAAACTATTGTTCTGACGATGTCGTTGCTTACCTCTCAGAGAGACTAACGTGATAGTTACTTTATCATCTTCCGCGTCTTCGAGCAAGACAGTAGTTTGAATTGTTATTGCGGCAGACAACTTTGCTGGTTCTCCGTCGTCGAGAATACAAGTGCTTACATCGATCACACCGCCAACGTTTGTACATGTATAGGTATCAAACAGGAATTCGAACACTCCGCTGGCATCAATTGGTACATTATTGTCAATGTTATCGGTGGAAATCGACAACAGAAATTGAAATTCCCAAGTCTGAAATAAACATTTCATGGAAACATAAATGCTCGCCCAAAGTGCGAAAAAGTGAACTAGTACCATTGGAACAGCATGTGAATTTGCTAAAACCCTGATGTCAAATGTACATTTTATTGACTACAATCTGTAGCCAATTTTATTGACTACAATCTGTAGCCAATTTTATTGACTACAATCTGTAGCCAATTTTATTGACTACAATCTGTAGCCAATTTTATTGACTACAATCTGTAGCCAATAAGCGAATGGAACAGTGGAAATTAGAAATTGCCAAGTGAAACACTCACCTGGTGACACTGGTATTGCTGGTCCGTACCAATAATATCTGTTACCATAATACATGTCGGTACGGTTGTAATAGTTGTGGCGGGAGATTTTTCAATAGTTATCAAGTTGTGATCAGCGTTGTCAGGAATATAATCTACTTCATTTGCTTTGTAGACTACCATTTTAGCATCCGAGTCCACAATTGTCGTGAATCTAAAACAAAATGTATTTGTTGGGATATGTACGCGTGTAGTTCTGTACATTTCGAGATGCGCTAGATACATTTATTTATTTATTTCAACTATTCGAGCATGGAATATCATCAATCCCCTTTAACGGTTATTTTAAAAGATTGTACGATTCTCTTCTACACTAGAAACTTCTAAATCCGAAGTTGATTTCAGTTCCAAAATAGAATTAACTAATTCAGCAAGTATCATTTTAAGGAATCTGATAGAATGAAATTGTACTTTCACTATTTGCAATGGTCCTGTGCCACACATTAGTTTATTACATTATACAAGATGAATGCATACCTCAGTTTGAGTCTGGCCTGTGTTGGTATGGGGTCACCAGCTGCATCATACACAGTACTCACAATAGCGAACTCGAAGATCGGTTTCAATATGGCAGTTGAACTTATTATGAACTACAAATAGTAAATTTATGTTATTTTAGAATCAACTGGAGTTCATAGAACGTAGACTTAAACATTTGCTAGTTTCTCCATTTTATAACTTAGTTTGATTATTAGTATGGACTTATTTTGAATGATCAGCAGTTTGTTTACCTTTCCTATCGCTGTACGCGATAATCGCCAGATCAATTCTATATGGGATTGAACAAACGATATACCAGCAGTCGCCACGGCATCGTCTTTTGGTCGTACGTTGGTTGCATACAGCTTAGTTCGGTATTCGATTTCGTCGGAATTTGAGCCGGCCACTTGCCAGATGTTTGTTATTCCATCAGACTTCAGGCAAGAAAAGAATGTACCCATGTCGCCTTCAAAAATAATTTGGTCGGTTCTTTTGTTGTTAGCTGCAGTAAATTAATCAGATTGATGTTATTAGTTTGCCGACAAATAAAACTAGATAGATGGATGATTACATACTCTAGAAAGGGTTGCAAATTTGGGCAAGAGATGTAGATATGGTTGTCATGAAAACAATTTAAGTGATGATACAAGATTAGCTCTTGTACACGTTTAATGTATAGTTGCGTTCGCGTACGGATTCTTGAGCATGGGCCAAGAATTCAAAAATATTGGCCCACAAGAAACTTTGCACGAATGGTTATCACGGGCCAAGGAAAGCTAAATGTAACCAGTCAACACTAATGTGCACTTTTTGAATTTGCATTGTTTTCTAACCGTAGAACTAACTTGTATACTTGTTACCGAGTAAGCTTAGTTAAAATGGCTAAAGATTTGTACATTTTTAACAAGTTTGGGCATTTCTTAGCCCGTGTCAACTGTTTCCTCTTGTGTGCTAATGTAATGGGTTCTAGTCGATTAACTCTTGACCTGTATTTGGTGTAACGTGAAAAATGATTGGTTTTATGACGAAATTTGTTTTTATAATGAATTTGCCACTTTCAAGTTGTCCCATGCAGAACAGACCAATAATTAATACAGTTCAATGAATCAAGAAACGAGTTTAGAGTGTAGAACACTACGTACCGTCTACAGTTCCCCTCACGAACTCTGTGAATAGTTTTTTACTTGCTAGTTCCCCATCGACTTTGTCTGTGAAATAGCCATCCTCAAAGTAAGTAGGAAAAGTGGAATCTTCGTATACAGAAGAGCATTCGCCGGTTCGTCCCGAAACCAGGTTGCCTGAAATTCAACGATACAATAACACTTAAAGTTGCATTCCCGCCTCCATAGAGCTTTTTTGGATAAAACAATGCAGATTACCAATTGCCTCAAATGGTCGGAGTTTCGAGACCAGGGGATGGTGGTAGAGAGTCTACTTTGTGTATAGAACAAAGGTTACTGCTCTTTGAGTTGTTGACGAAATTATTGCGAGCTAGTGTTGATCAGCGAGGGATATTTTTCATCAGAAATTTGTATTCTGTTTGGTAAACATGTACGTAAATGACGTCACAATGAGACTACCTATAAAACGAATGTAAAAAGTTCACGAAATTCGAATGCGATCTGCGAGATCATGTCATCTTTCCAAGAGATGGTAAAACACGGGCGTAATTTCTGCAAACATTCACCTGTGGTTTCGTCAATTGGGTAGGCATTCTGAATAAATTTGAATTCCTGAAAATCAAGAATCCAAAATTCATAGACATTTTCTGTGTCTTGTACGTTCAGCTTCAAGTCAACGACGCCATTAGTTACGTTGAATTCGTCTTTGGTGACTTTACCCATTACAGAAAACCTGGTATCTGCGTTGTCAGGCGAAATATCTGCACCGAAAGCACAGAATACCGGCTTGACGGTCAACAAAACTACCAAGAAGGAGGAAAAGGTCGCGAGCAGCATGGTTGAAAGAAGTGGAGCTAGCTGACGAGCTGTAAGCTTCCTTCACCCGCGAACGACGCCAATGAAATAAACCAGAACAAAAATGACATTCAAACTCGACAGGACGTATTTATAGATTTGAGCTGGAGCAAGGCAAAATTTGATTCGTCGAAAAATTTTTCTCATCAAACAAGCTGCATTCTGATTGGTCTGAATAAAAGGTGCAAGGTTTGAGTAGTCAATCAGGCACAATCTTGTGTTGAAAATATACGTGTCAGATAACCAATCAACAATGTACTTACAAAGTCGTACCTGATTGGCTACCCAACCTTAACACCTGACAGTCAGACCAATCAAAGCGCAGCTGTGTCGAAAACACCTATGTATGCTATTTTGTTGCGATCATTTCAACTAAAGGGGCGGGGGTATATTTCCCGTGATCAACTCCACCTGTAGCGACATTTTAATTTGCTTACGTTTTTTTTCGAAGTTATAATATTAAACTGTAAAAACAACCACCCAAAATGTTGTTGTTTTAAAAATGTATCTACCCTGCAAAATTTACTTGTCTCTCTATTACTATTCTTAATTTTTTACAACGCAACGCGGAGCCAAGATATGCGTTCGAATACGACGCGCAAAGCTCAAGGTCTCTAGCCAGTTTCACCCTAATATTACTATTTTCACATTTTTGATATTGCTCCTTAACAGCTTGTCCTAATAATCTTTTTTTCTGCTTTCTTTAAAGGGCGGTGGTCGTCGGTCAACGCGTGTTCGAATTTCATATAAATAAACAATGTATTTTACACGCGTTGAATACGTAGATATGAGTCCCATATCGAACAGGACGCGGCGCGACGACTATCGACCTTTAAAATAAAAGTAAGTTTTTTTGTGTTTTTTTTTATCGTACAGTCACTAGTAAGATGAAAGAAAACTGGCAGCCAATGAAATCATCTTTGATACATTTATGAGGTGTTTAATTGTCAAGATTCTCGTTTGTTATATTGCGCTTTTCAGTATATTTCGTCTCTGGTTGATGAGTAATATCATAGCAAGGTGTTCTGCGATATCCTATATATTATCAGGGGGAAATTCTTCTCCACGGGGTTCTCCACACTTGTCAGGGGGGAATCTCGTCTCGTCTCTATATCTCGTCCCCTTGAGGTGCGGGATCGGGAAAGTCACTTAAGCTTTACAGTCAAATAAGACACACACAGCGAAATACGTTTCAGCTCTCGTCTTAGTCGGTCAATCGAGCACACTATAAGACACAGCGCCCTGGGGAAAAGTCCCCAAGACTATCGCAAGGCTGAACCAAGACTCTCTTAGACTGCGTCAACACTCGCCCCAGGCTCTCCAGGACTGGACTCTCGACTGCGTCTATCGTGGTGTACTCGTCAAGACCAACTCAAACTCTCTTTATTCATTTTCAAAACTCTAACCAATTACAAAACAGTAAAAAGACACTAGGGCGTAACCTTCAATCATAAAGCCAATCACACTAAGTACTGAATACGTCATATCTTTTGATTAATCGTTCACTACATTAATAACTACGAATACCAACTGCCAGAATCGTAGTCAGAATAGCGACGGTTATATCGTAATTAGTTCCAAACCACTGAACCAAGTTCCGTCCAAAACTTCAAATAGGCCTAAACGATGACAGACATAACACAGCAATTCAGCTAATAATCAGCTAATTAAGTCGGTCAACAGATACGCAAAAACAAATTCATGACAATATGAATGCCACTGTTTGAACTAGGATTACGTAAAAATGTTATCTATTGTTTCACTACACTACTGCAGGCCTAGTTATCAATAGAAATAGTCCACCATTGAATAACAGGTTGATAAATAGTACTGTTATCATACTGAGATTTCCACATATAAAAATCTTTTTATTTTTCAGTTCTACCCCTGCTTCCTGAAATTGTTAAAGATATTTAGATCAGTGCCAAGGTCACGATAAATACAAGTAAAATAGACATTGATGTTCATCATTATTAGATAATTGGACTAGAACATACTAGTAATTAAATTATGTTTAAATGTTTAACATAGCACATGACTCCACCCGTTTTATCTACATATGGCATATGACCTATATCCCAGTATTTTATAATTACCAACATTATTAATGTTTTAACTAGGTTTCTGATGACAACAAAGTGTACAAGAAGGTAGTCGGCTACGTTATCACAATTTGTATGTAATCATCTAGAATGTAAGTGAATTTTGACAAGCTAAGAGTAAACTGTTTTGAAATTACTCCAAATTGCAAATCAGTATTTATATGATTAACCAGATTGTTGTCATGATCAGTATCAGTGTGAGGAGTATTTTTTTAACCGTTTCCCCTGAATTCGAAATAACTAGCAGTGACTTGAAATATTAGTATCCTCGGGGGCGGACATCCGGGCATTTTCTACCGCCTGGCAACCCTCGCGGTGAAAACAAAGACCAAAAACTTGCAGAAAACGGTACTTTGCGATGGTTGTTGGGAGTCCCCTGAACAGTGTAACAAGATTAGCTCTACGTGTGTAACATATATGAATTTGGTTGTTCAGGATTACTTCAAAGTTGAGTTTGTGTTGTTTTCTCGAGTTTTCACCAGCTCCACCGGCGTTCCACAGCAGCGCGCACAAAGCCCGTAGAAATACGTGGTACAGTGGTGCGCGTCTTAGCAACGTAGAACGTCCGTGACGTAGCTCCGCCCCGAGGATACACATCCTAACGTTCCATTCACACGCATTTTTATATGTACGATTAACAATATCATTGATTACAAATTTATGAAGTTATTCAATTTTCCCTTCCCTGAAAATATTCAACAAGGTGAACAGAACAACACACTCGAATCACTTTTTTACAACAATAGCTACTTCGCCTGAATCGATAATCAAGACGCGATTACCAAAACTAGTCGTTAGATTATGTGCCACAACCTGTTGTGATATTCTATTTTTTACTTTAAAATAAATGTATTCTGATAATGCCCAGTTAGCTTGCTAACGAGGCTTGCCTGGCTGCGGAATTAGAATAGACAGCATGTATTGTTATTGCTAATTAATATTCATTTGTCCATGATTGCGCAAGACGAACGTGAACACGAGTGAGTCAGTTGTCACCCAGCTCCAGTGCAGTGTCGACGTGACATTCAGCGCACGTCTCAAGATAATGCCTGTCCAATTCAGCATGTGGAACTGATAGATGCTACGCTGTAAAACCATCAGTTTTGCCAGAAACGTGGTTTGCTAATCTTTGTCCTTTCTCTGCACAGTATGAAAGTAACGTAATACGTATTACGGTCAGTGTCGTGTAGTTTGCATTCCCTGCGACCTCGTAGTTTGGAGCTGTAGAACTAATTTCGTCGCCGACGTTAATGACTGTACTATCACTGGAACTACGCAGTACGAGTTTTGCAACTAGATAGTGTATGCAATTCCGAGCTGGGCGATTATCATTATTATTATTATAGTGATGTATATTGCTGACCGGTGTGTGATTTATATTACTCCTGTTAATGATTTAAGCTTATTGTATCATTAAATTAGTATTATTTGACATATTCTGGTTGTGCGTCTTTATTTGACTTTTAGTGTTGCGTCATGAAGTGCGGGATATTGGCGGCCAGGTTCGTATATTCGTTCGTAATACAACCAAACGCGACATTTATTTTCGACACCAAAACGCTTGTTGATACAAGTAACATTACAGCTTATACTACCTTCACCCCCTCTTGTAGCCTGACAAGGTCGCGTGAGTAGCGCCCTTCGCGGTGCTCCAAACCCAACCGAGTTTGATGCCGTTCGGCCAGCGAGGGCGCCACTCCCGTCTGCATGTCAGGCTATCCCTCTTGGTGTATTTACGTCTGTGAAATATCTACCACATCATTACGTCGACAAAATAGACAAATTCGAAATCTCATATTAGTGGTAACTACGTCTAAAATAATTCCTTGTATATCAACGTCTACCTGCTCTGTATTGTCATGGTAACACTGCTTCGTTCCCCAATGTTATTGATAATAACTGGTCTTAATAATTCTTCAATCATTTCAATTACTATAACGGTAATCATTATTAGTCTGGTTCTATATTACGAAGGTCGACCCATTATTCGTAAGATCCTTCACAAATTAACGTCAAACCCTTGCAACGTAAAGGCATATATTG